TCACAAGCCAGACAATGGTTCACTGGCAGTGACCAGCTCCCTCTCATTCGACCCCTCTCATTCAGCCGGTGGTGAATGTTACCAGTGGCAGCCCTGGCTGTTTGTCAGCCCTGGTCCTGATCCAGAGTTTCTTTCTCTTTCATGTGGGATCTTTGTCATATTTTGAGTCTCTTTTGCACCCCATTCAGTTTTATACCAGTTTCCCACATAAGCCTGTTAGAGATGTAATGTTAATTACCCAGAAATCTCCGTCTGCAGTTGCTCCAGCATCATTCTTTAATGAATACAGACTTCATTGCATGTATTCTATTACTTTAGCTGCTTCAATTTCTATTTTTATTGCAAAGATCTGTGCAAATAAAAGAATATCAAAAGGTATGGCTATAAATGTGCTCTGTGAACTTCCCTCTGCCTTGAAATGCCTGTGAACGGCTGCTACAATATGCCTGCTGCATTTTAATGCCTTTCTCATGAGGCAACAAGGTATGGTCAAAATAACACTGGCTTTGGAGTCACACATTCCCTGGTCCACCATTCACCAACTGTGCTACTTATTTGAGCCTCAGTATACTGGGCTTCCCTGGTGGCTCACAGGTTAAAGCGTCTGCCTGCAATGTGGGAGACCTGAGTTCGATCCCTGGGTCAGGAAGACCCCCGGAGGAGGAAATGGCAACCCACTCCAGTATTCTTGCCTGGAGAATCCCATGGATGGAGGAGCCTGGTGGGCTACAGTCCACGGGGTCGCAAAGAGTCGGACACGACTGAGCGATATATGGGTATGGGTACTCATCTGTGAAATGTCAATGTCATCCTCACAAACTTGATTGGAGATAAAATGAGATGAAGTGTGTAAAGCATAAATATTATATTTAAGGAGCTTAATAAATGTTACTTTTCTCTAGCCTTTTGTAGTAATGGGAGACTATGGCATGCACAAATGAGCAGTCATTTTAAAATGTTTTTCAATTGAGGTAATTATGAACTAGGAAGAATAAGGTTAAATTCCAATGGAGCAGATAATGCCTTACTGTGATGTGTATTGCATTTGGGAATATATTACTATAGGTGACGATGAAGAAAATGACATGGTTTCTGAATTTCATTACAACTTTAAAACTCTGTCCAGCTTTAAAGTGTTGTAAGAAAAGCCTGTTTTACTATACATCTGCTTTTAAAGACATAGGCAGCATAATTTACAAGAAATCACTGCAATATAAATCTGTTTTGTTATACTGCTTTAGTTAATTTAAAATAAAATTTCAGCACATTGAAAGTGCAGGAGTGGCATTGATCACCTACATATGTATATAGCTATAATAGGAACTTTTTTGGTAAGAATGACTGACTAACCTCTACCTTATCCAATGAACAAATAATACAGCAAGCCTAAATTTTCTAACAAGCAACCTGGAGATGGAATTACTGATGCTTTGCCAGATTTTATATGGTTGCAAGAGTAGGTGAGTTACACTATATGCTGATGTCACTTCTGAAGCTATCAGACAAAATTCTTAGAATCTCTACTACTGAGTTCCATAAAGCCAGAAAAATAGAAGTTAACATGTAAATAGAGGAAGGAAAAACAGGAGTCCTCAGAAAGTAAGTCCTCAAAGCTAGGCTTAGCTTTCATTCTGGTCCAATAAGTTGTTAGAGGACCCAGTCTTTAAGATACTAATTAGATAAAGGAGACACAGGTTGGAAGGTAGTAAGCAATGGTGGAAAGAGCCTTCTTTAAAGTCAGACCTTATATATCTATTAGTCATGAGCCTCAGATTTCTCATGTCTATGGAGCAGAACCATAAAAGTTATCTTTATTCTTCTGTGATTTTGAAATATTTACAGCACCTGTTAACACAACTATATAACTCAACTCAAGTGCCAGCTCCTCTAGATGGTAATAGCTTTCTGAAGTTCTGAGTTAAGGAAGATTCTAAGACCACATCTAGGATTTTGGGGAAGGAATGCTATAATTGATTAATGATGTCTGCTCTGAGCAGAATTGATAATAAGTGAAAGTCTGTATCAATATATTTTCTATGCAATGTCCCATAAATTATAATTACTATGATTACTGGTTCTCTTATGACAAAGGCATTTTTATGTTCCTCAGATTTCTACCTCTTCAACACAAAATGGAATCAATTAACTGCTTTGGGTACAATAGCTGTGTATATCATTTTTATTGATTTGATGGTATACTTGTGTGTATTATCTGTAGAGAAGAGCTAAAGATAAAATCAGAATTTACTATTCCTCATTTTATTATATAAACCAACTACCTGGGAAACAGTCTGGTATAGTTACTCAAAGTAGAGTGAGGCTTAGACAGAGAAAGAAAATGAATGTTGCAATGTAGTCCCTGCTTATCATGAAAGGTTTGCATGGTGTCCTGTAACTTCTTTAAAATATTCACACAAGGGAGAATGTTTTGCACTTAGATGGTCCATGAATTTCTAGACTTTTTCCTGTTTTTCTCTGTGGCCAGATTTCTTCTCTGGGTAAATAGTCATGTTCCTGTCAGCCATAGGGGATTTTCTGAATCATAAACAGCTGATTTTGTATTCTTGCTCCATTCCTTCTATTTGAGAACTGAAATCTGATCAAACCCATATTTTTAAATTTATTTATTTATAGGCATATGGAAGAACAGTTTACGGTCTGAGTGTGATTATTTTTTCCCACAAATGTAGGAAAATTATGGGGATTTTTAAAACAGCCCCTTATCAGTTTCTTTCCTTTTTTTTTATTACTGATGACTTCATTCTGCTTGAATTCAATGCTTTGGTTTCTTTGGGTAAACTAATAGATTATGTATGCTGTGTTTGCACCACGTTGATTGAACTCATCTGGTGAGTTTGAGCGTGGCTTATGCATGCACGAAATGGGCAGAAGCCTGCACAGTGGATGCAGGCCCCATAGGCAACTCAGAGTACTTAAGAGCAAGGGGTGCTCTTCAGAATTGAGTTCTGCTGTCTTTCCTGCCTTCTGTTGTTCAGGAAAGTATCAGACCTTCCACTTTTTTTCTTATTGTTATCTTTATCCAGTTCTGAAGAAATACTTTTGTTCAAGAAAAGTATAGTAAGAAAACAAAGTCAGAACTATTTAAAGCAAGTTTTAAAATACATATTGAAGAAAAATTAATGTAAATGATCTGTAAGAAATTGTTTTTTCTTGATCAAAGGCATCAATTACTTGGTGTCCACAGAGCAGGTAGGAAGCCAAGAACCCCATGCTAATTTTGTACAGAGGATGTCGAGACACGTGGTCCTGCTTTCAGTTAACTTACAATCTATCAGTAGTTTGGGAAGAATGTTTTCCTTCCAAAAGATGTTTACTACCATTTTCTTTTTATAATCCAAGTGTAATTTTTAAATGTTTTAACAAAATAATAGATGACTTCTTCCTACTGCTTTTAGATCTCTCATTTAAACTTCAAACTCAGTGTGATACTTAGGGATCATTTTGGCGTGTAGAGGTCTTCTCTGTGGGGCTCCTCCCTACTTTTCTCCGTCCCATTTGTCTCTCTTCCCAGCTCCCTCCCCTACACCTTGTATACTAGAGGCATGATTCTCACATACACATGAAATATGAGTATCATTATGGTTAATTGTTACAAATTGAGTTAAAATACCAACATTTGCAAATGATCTATTTTGTCATTTATTAGAGTAAATTCAAAATATCCCTAAAGGACCGAAACTCTCTTTTTTTATAATCTGCTTCCCAAATGAGAGGGGGAAGGGAGCATATGTCAGCTACTATGTCTATGAGGCAAGACAAAAGAAGTTGAGGACCACTGCTTGCCAAACTGACTTCCTTGCACTCCCCCCAAAGCAACATGCTTTCTCATTTCTGTTCTTTGCATTGTTCTTCCCTCTGCCTTGAATTTTCTCATCTCACTTGTTCAGTTGTTGAGCACCTATGCATCTTTCAAGATTCAGCTAAGATGTCACCTGCTCTTTGGGGCCTTCTGTGATCTCCTTCCATGGCTCTGTCCTCACCCTGTTAAAGTTTAAGCAATCCATGTTCCCTCAAGCCCTGTGCAGACCTGTAGCATCAGTCACAGTGGATCGTAGTCTTCCATATCCCTTTCAGTTCCCTAATTCCCAGACTGTGTGTTTTTTGTGGAAAAGTTCTGTGAAAGTGTTTAAGATCTCCAGGTCTTAACATAAGTTCTGGCACAATAGGGCACTCAGTTATGCCTCAGATCAGAGAAGTTGATCAGCTGTAGATATCTTCCTAGCATCTTCCTCTTGCTTCCTCTCCCTGATTGTATCACATCATGTTGATTCTGTTGAAATGATGGTGACAGATCTAAGCTAAAAGGGAGCCACTGGCTGACCAGTGTGGGGCTGAATAGATAAGTTACTGGAGAAACTATAATTCCTGAGAGGAAGAAGTAGCTAAGGAGAGAAGAAAACCTTGGACATGTAACCAAGATGGCATATTCTACTATGACCAGCTTTCTATTTTTCTTTTTACTTATTGGAAAGACTTCCACTTTCTTTTCTTTACCTATGTCCCGCCTATACCCATATAATAACATGTACCCCAGCCCCACTCCAGAAATTCACGAACGTCATTGAACTGAACATGCCATGCCACTCTGCATCACATTCAAGCTTCAGGTCAAACAACTGGTCTCAAATAGGCAACACTTATGTAAGAAAATGAGATACTACATAAAAAATTAACCAAACTCTGTACATACAATTTTAAGAAAAAGGTGATGGCTCTTTTAATTGCTCTAGGTCAGGACCTTAAGTTCTCACTCAAAAGGCACTTATTAATCCCAAGTTAAATCTAAACATATGCACATAAAGAGTAGTTTTTATTTATTTTTGTTACCAGGAATTTCACAGTTTTACTAGCATATTTGTACGATATTACTGAATCTTCCAAATTTGAATGTCAGATGCTTTAACAAAATAAAAAATATCAAGAAGCAGTTTCTAGGATGTTGTTCACCATGTGACTGCTTGTCTGATTATGTCCTGCAGTGGCCGGTCCGTGAGCGGAAGTGCTGACCGCATCCAGAAGTTGCGGAAAGAGTATTATCAGGCTCGGAGAGAAGGTTTTGCTTTATATGAAGATGACGAAGGAAGAGCAAGACCCGACTATGACCTTCACTGGGTAAGTCTATGCCTGAATTCATTGCACTCATCTTTACTAACATAGTTAAGAGCAGAAGAACATGGCTAGGAATGTCCTATACATATCAATGTATATTTAGGTTACTTGGGTTTCATGGATATAAACATTACCTAAACCACAGCCCATTTTCTCCTACAGAAGTTGTTTCTATAAATCAAACCACACTAATGCACAGTAGTTCATTTTCATTGCTTTCATATTTACTCCCTCTTGGACTTGTATGCCTGCTTGTTTGGATGGAGCAGATGTTAGCTATTTTAAAAAGGGCAAGGAATCTTGGTCATTATCTACTGAGCCTTAATCCTTACCCTCCATCTCTTGAGTCTCAGACATCTGGTCAAGCATTAACAGACCATGCACCATAAGCAATCTCTTCTTTCAAAAACAATTATTAGAAATAAATTTCGGAAAGGTCTGAAAGATATCCATTCAAAGATATCAAGTGTGAGTATATTGCATCTGAACACTTTACATTTTGCTAATCTTACCAGTACACTAAGATCATTTTATTCTGAGACAAGGGCAGTTTTTTATTAGAGGGTTCTCTATCAAATCATTCCACATTCATGAAGACAAAAGGATATCATGACCTCTAAAGAAACATTTTTCTGGATTTTTTCAAAATAGCCTAATTCATTCTGTTGTCTTTTTCAAGAAGGCGAGCTCTTTCTCATCCTCTTTGATGATTACTGCCTTCTCCTACAGTTTTTAGTGCTGTTTTGAGAACCACATAAGGAACCGTCTTATCCCAGGTGACCACACCATCTCTTTTGAAGGACTGATCTTTTAAAGGAAATTTTCCTTCCTTGATTTTCACACCCACATTTGTGTTCATGAGGTCAGGGTTGGAAGAGTAGAGTCCAGCCACTGAGCTGATTCTCTCTAGTTTTTACTTGGATAGTGTGGTTTCTCATGCATGAAACCTAGTGTTTTTACACAGGGTCCAAAAGCCAGTTTCAGCATCTATCACTGTTGTGCACAGCAACTGACAGTTCTTAGCCCAATAGATTCTACCTTGTATGGCAGAGTTTAAAAACACTTATCAGAAGTACATGGTATGGACTAGCGATCGCCAAGCAAATGGCTTCAGTCTTTTCCAGAAATAAGCATCCTGTGACTACAGATCAGATGAAACAACTATTTATGGGTTTTATTATCAATGTTAGGATTAAGCAGAATAGCATTGACTGTGATAGGGCAACTAGTCCTTTAGACTCTCAGTAACAGAAGCAAAAGATTTTCATAGAATAACAATCTGTAACAATTCACTTAATTTCAGCCTTATTCAAGACTGACTTTCTGACTTTGATGGAAGACTGTATACATAAGACTGTCCTCTCTCAACCAAACAGATGATAAAGGGAAGTTGTTTCCACCAGAACCAAAGCAGAACTCCATGTTCAATGCATTGAGAAGTCTTTCTTCTCAAAACCAGTATGAATTCCTATGAGCAAAATAACATAAATAATTTCACAATAGATAAAGCAGTCCTGGTTGTTTGAACCTTATTTTATATGATCTCCTTACATCAAGTTGAAAGGATGAAAATTATTAACAGTCATGAGACTTAAAGTTTCCTCTGATTTACCAAACCTGAGCTGGATGACTATGCACTCAGGTCCTCCCTATTTGATACTGTTTCTGTGCCAGGCAAATGCATAACCAGATGAACAATCTAGTGAGTGAGAGTATCCCTCTAATTTGTGTTTCCTATGCTCAGGTGTGTTGAGCTTTGCCAGAAGTGACTGATTTTACATTTCCCAAGCAATTGGGGACTATGGCTTCCCAAAAGGATTCTTGGGAAATGCACTGTCATAAAAGCTGAGTGGCCCTTTGTGATTGGCTGTGATATTCCAAACCAGGGATTAGAATATCAGCATCCTTTCCTGTCCTTCCCACAAGCCAAGGAAAAACACTATTATCTATTGTCCAACATGGACCTGAGAAATCACACCATTATCTTGCTACTTTTTGAGAGATCCAGGAAAGCATGTTTAGAAATTTAGTCTTTCATTTCCTCCAGTCAGCCAGACCCAACAAGATAGCTTTTATGAGACTGTGGTTTCTAGATTGGCTGGTCTTCAGCATCACCAAGGGTGCCTGTTAAAAACTGAAAAACAGTCTATGAGGAGGCGGGATGGAGCCCAAGAGAGGGCTCCTAGGTGCTTCTCCATCAGGCTTTCTGACCCACAGGTCTTTAAAAATAGGACATTGATTTCCAGTTTCTTCAGTAAATCCTGAAGTAGTTCAACTTGTCTAACAAAATCATTACATGGACAAGCATCATCAAAAAATACTTTCATGGACTCAGAATTCCTCTAGCTCCCAATACCTCAGATTGAGAGGTCTGAGAGAAACTCCCAAGAGTCACACTATACTGGGGAACTTTGGATCTTTGGAACTTTGGATCTAATTTTTTTTGAGAAAAAAATTAGAAGAATAAGTTACCTAGTAACTACTTTAAGATAGGCCAAAAAGAACGAAAGAATGCTTACAAAAGTTTTCAAAACCAAAATGATTAAAACAGTCATGGAAAGAGTATTAGGATCTATGAATCACTGAAAAGACATTATTAGGTTCTATTCATATTTTTGGTGGTTTTATTTTTTTTCACATCTCTGAAATTAGGATGCAGTTTGCAATCACTTTTCACCAGGTGTCATGATATAACTGTTCATTTCTGAACAAGAAATGTTCAGAATTATGCACGTTGTTTATTAGAAACTTGAAAGAAAATCCTTGAGAAATTTTGGAGCACGCTTTTAAGAAAGGCTGCTCCTGATATTTTTTAAATGTATTTGTATCAGTGGGACTACACTTCTTGCGTTGGTCCCTCCTCTGACTTTCTGAACTTCCCAGCCATCTTGTGGGTAGTTTTCTACCAATGTTACACCTGCTCAGTGGCCAGAGCCAAGGATTTCTCTTACTGCTCTCTTGGGTTTTCCCTTGCTCTCACCTCTCTCTCTTTTCCTTTTCCTTTTTCTATGTCTCCTATTCAATTTTAACCAACATTTTCTCAGTCTTAGTGTAGGCCCGGTACTGGTAAACAAAAGTGTATTGTCTCTATGTTGGAGGAACTCACAGTCTAGCCAGGAATACAGACATCTAAGCCAAAACCAAGAAAAAGGACATTAATCTATGTGAGAAATGCTCTTGTGTAGAGTGATACTATCTTCTAAATGAGTGCAGAGAAAGCAGTTAATTCTGTTGAAAGCAGGGTATGTGTGAGGGGTGCTGGGAAAGTGATAGAGAGCATTTGGAAGTTGCCTCAGTCCTGTATTTTGTTCCTTTCTCCTCAAACACACAGGTTTTTCTTTTTCCCAAAGGAGCTCCTGATTTATTCACTTCATTTGTGTTAAAATAAATGAATACACACAGATTGCAAGGTTTGTAAATATGGACATGAGACCTTAAAAAATCTTTTCAGAAAGTCTGTTTTGTATCTGTGTTCCCATCTAGACTCTGAAAAGCTGTAAAGAACAAGTAGAGGGAAATTCAATGGCTGTGAGTGAGATGCCTGGCGAGTTTTTATAGGCCCAATTAAGTGAGCCAGATAGGCTCGCTAAGAAGTGTTCGTATCTGCCAAAAGAAAACATAATAACATAATACCTGATATCTGTTGGCATTTTATGTTCTGTACAACTTGTAAAGACTGTCACAGTCATCTGGCCACAGGCTATGGTTTATTGTGGTTGGGCTTCTAAAAATTATTATTAGCAGATAAAGATTATCTGCTAATTTAACAGCAATGTGAATATCCTGTAAGTAACTTTAGAAATGGGATAGTTCTAGAGTTTTCTAAAAATTTTAGTACCATTATTACTATCTTATTTCAAGAGTTACATGGCATATATTATATCCCTTTCCTCTTTTTAATTCTTTGGCTAAATTGGAAGAATATTTACCTATAAAAGGGTGGGAGGGAGGTAGGCTGGTTTCCATTGTCAAAGACATAGCACTATGTGTTTTGACAAAGGGAATTAGTTCACGTAGGTCATGGTTGGAACAGAGATGGTTGGGTGAAGAAATAAAAACATTCTGAAAGATTTGTTTCTTCTAATATGAAGATGATTTAGAAACCAACTCAAAGGAACATATTTGGCAGCTGTCTTAACAGTGAGGGACCCATCTGGTGAATCCTGTAGTCAGGGGCAAGGGAGGTCAAGATGCTAAGATCGTGCTAGCTGTCTTAGGAGCAGATTTAAGATGGAATGTGTTATAGCCACACAAGTACAAACCCCATCAGAAGGTCATGTTCTAAACATAAGGGATAAGAGAGATGACCTCCCGCTGTCTAGCGGTCCAATACCAGAACTGAGACTTGTTCATACTTGTCCTTCTCTTTCTCCTGGAGGGCATCTATTAAAAACTAGGGACATTAAAAAACAATTATGGATTAGTCAGTGGCTGTTAAGTTGCAACAGAAACCTAATTCAAACTGGCCTAAGCAAAAACAGAAACTTTGTTGGCTTACATAACTTTAAGGTCCATAGGGTATCTGACTTCAGGCAAAGCTGGTCCTACTCCTTCCCACAGGCCATTAGGAGCTCATTATTAGGAGAATAACTTTTGTGCTTCGCTCTTTCGGGACCATTGTCAAGGGACTCCCCTATATGGTGATAAGACAGCCATCAGCAGCCTCAACCCAGCAGCTCTATAGAAAGAGGTTGTCTCATCTGCAGTATATCCAGAAAGTCCTAGAACTGATGTTCAATACAGTCCTCAATGACTTGTTGACTCAGCCTGGGTCACATGTCTACTCCTGAGCTCCCATGGCCAAAAAGATGTAGTACTCTTACTGGTCAGAATTACATCACAAGGCCACTCCTGGAACCAGAAACAGAAACAGACCTACATAAATTCGATGAATGGGTATAAGTAAAGAAGTAGTCCCCAAAAGAAAATCAAGCTGCTGTCACAAAGGAAAAATGGACATCAGGCACAATTAGGAGTTGTCTATTATAATCCCTAGTTTTTAT